GCACTACAACACTGATATAGGAAATTCTGATGTACAAAACACTGCTGTTCAGTGCAGTCACCACCATTATCTGTGCATTTTTGCCAGAAATCTGCATCAGCAGAGGGGACAGGCTGTCACTGCTGCTGAAATGCACAACCCACCACTTCACTGTGCTCACATCCACTGTTTGGTTACCATAAATGTTCTGTAAGCATCAATGAATGTCAATGGACGCATTCTTTTTTTCTGCATGGAGGAGTTCAATGACATACCGTTGCTTCATATACTCTTCCACATCAGATGCTATTGTCAGAGTGCCACTCTGCTGCCACCTGTTGCATGGCAACAACATATAATGGAATATTAGTTGACAGATTTGTCCTTTACTCCCATGCTACCAATATATGCCTATGCTACTATGGGCAAACATAATAAAATGGAAGACATTACTTCCAGAAAAGTCTCTTAGCTGCAGCTCCACATTCAATCAACTCCCTCCACCCTCTTCAGGGTTTTTTACATCATATCATATGGTATGGAATATCCTCTGTCCATTTTAGGTGAGCTATACCGGTTCTGTCTCCTCCCAACTTCTTGTGTGCCCTTAGTCCCCCTCAATAGTAGGATGATATGAGAAGCTGAGAAACTGAAATGTCCTTGACTCTGTGCAGCACTGGTCAGCAACAGCTAATAAAACACTGATGTTATCAACACTGTATTTTCTCCTAAAGGCAAAACACAGCATTATACCAGACACTGTGAGGAAAAAAGAGAAAATCAACTTCCAGCTGAAACTAGGACAGTAGTGTTCAACCACAAAGCACTTCATCTAAACGATTAGTCTGTGGAGCTGAACAGAGGGAAACTGTGAAAGAAAAGCCCAGCTTAATCGCGCATCTTTTTCAAAATTATTTTTTACTTTGGCCGAATTTTGGAGGCACTTTTTCTGTAAAACCTCCTTTTGTTCCTATCTTGAGCTTTTTTGCGTGGAGATGCTTTTGAAATCAAGAACATACATGTAAAGTTTATGATAAAGTCTTTCCTCTTCTACAGAAGTGTAGTTAAAATAAGTTCAAGTCTATCTGTCTATAACTTGACCAGTTCATTCTTTATTTTGTATACTATTTATTGCAAGAGAACACCATGAATACTTTTACTAGCCTGTTGCTTTCATTAAGTCTATGACATGGTGCACTACTTTTTGTTGTGGCACTGCTAGTTGCATGAATGATGAAGATTGAAAAAGTATTGCTAGGCTTTTTCTGTTTTACTCTGTCTTCTTCTGTCATTTACAATAGTACTGCTCTCTAAAACATAGGTGGCGGTCGAAACCCAGTAACACCACGATTCTTGCGACACTTCAATAAAATCACCATTAATGAGTTTGATGACGAATCCATGTACACGATATTTTCTAGAATCTTAGACTGGCATCTGACTATATGGTAAGAGATCTTTTTGTATGTGGAAAAATCAAAATAATTTAATTGCGTTACAGGAAAATTTGAAATATACGTCTGTAGGAACTTTGTGTTGTAAAAAAATGAACATCTTTTATATCCTGTGCATTTTGTGATATTCATTATTTCAACTGAACCGATGATCATGCTAAAATAGTGAACTTATTCTTCTGAAGTTTCCAACAAAGTTCTAGATTAGCTGAGCCTAATTAAGTTAGTTGAGACATCTCTGTAGTACCGTATTATTTGATGTATAAAAACAATTTGATTCGTAATTGTTCAAAGAACAGAACCAGAATCTATTCTTAAATTTCCTGTTGTTCGAGAAGGTTTATTCTTTCTTCAGTCTTTAACTGATGAATAATTTTAAATTGTATTATTAGATTTTGTTATATTTTTATTTATTCAACTTTCATTTTTCTATCCATTCTAACAGCTAAGTCTCAGAAAATTGTAATATCCTGTTTCTAGACGATGTTTATGCTTGACAGCTTCTGACCCTTTGAGAAGAGAGATAGAAGGAAGACAGCAAGGGCTATTAGACCAACTTTTCTGTTGCCATTGTTAGTTGTAAAAATCTAGGGAGGAAAGGGTATAATTGCTTATGTCTGACCTTAGGCAATTTTTCCAGTGTGTTCCATGGTTGCTAGTTTTGATTCACAGACAAGGTTGGTCTTTTAATCTAGCAAGGGAACTGATATTTTTTAAGCTGCCCATGAGGAAGTATAACTCCATTCTGTGCTGGTGGGACCTCACCTGGAGCACTGCGTTCAGATTGGAGTCCTCGGTATAGGAGAGATGTCGGCCTGTTGGAGCACATCCACAGGAGCGCAACAGAAATGATCTGAGGGATGGAACACCTTCCCTGTGAAGGCAGGCTAAGAGAGCTGGGACTGTTAGCCTGGAGAAAAGAATGTTCCGTGGTGAGACCTGATAGCGGCATTCCAGGATCCGAAGACGGGGTATAAGAAAGAAGGGGACAGACTTTTTTAACAGAGTCTGTTGAGACAGTATGAGGGGAAATGGTTTCAAACTAAAAGAGGGGAGATTTAGTCTGGACGTAAGGAAGAATGTTTTACAGTGAGGGTGGTGAGGCACTGGAAGAGGTTGCCCAGGGAGGTAGTGGAATGCCCCATCCTTGGGGACACTCTAGGTCAGTCTGAACCAGGCTCTGAGCACCTTGAACTAGTGTGCGGCCCGTTCATTGTAGAGGAATTGGACTAATGACATAGAAGAGTCCCTTGCAGCTCAAATCATGATTTTATGACTCCGTAAGCACAGAATTTTAAAAGCAGGGACATACAAGTGTGCATGTATTGTGTTGTTTATTAATTACCACCTTTTATACCTTATCAGTTATAGCTTTCCACCGCAATTTATAGAACTGATTCCGCAAATTATTAATGGAACCATGCGTATATATAAAGAAGCTATGAAGAATCTACTTCCTACCCCAGCCAAATCACACTATTTGTTCAATCTCCGTGATTTTTCACGTGTTATTCAAGGTGTTTGCCTGTCAAGGCCTGAAACAATAGACTCTACAGAAATGATAAAACGTCTCTGGGTTCATGAGGTAAATTACATAATGCTAAGAAATTATTGTCATTGTTATTATTATTATTATTATTATTATTGTTATTTTAAGATGCCAATTTGACTATTAATGTTTTTGTGATAGCTTTTCCTATTGCCTAGCAGCTGTAAATTGCTATCACATTCATGAGACAAGGTTTTTTATATTCTGAATGGGCAGACTTAATCAAATATGTCCAGGTGGAGACTGGTGACAAGTAGTGTCCCCCAAGGATCACTCCTGGGACTGGTGCGTATCAGCATCTTTATCTATGCACCCTCAGCAAGTTTGCAGACAACAGCAACCTGAGTGGTGCAGTTGATATTACAGAAGGATATCATCCAGAGGCACCTAGACAGGTGTGAGGAGGGGGTTCATGGGAGCGCGGGATATTGCATTTGCGTTAGGGAAGTCTGAGATACACGTACAGTCTGGAAGAAGAACTTTGTGAGAGCAGCCCTGCCAAGAAGAACTTAGCGGTAATGGTGGATGAAGTGCTGGACGTGAGCCAGCAGTGCTATATGTGTTCTTGTAGCCCAAACGGCCAAAAGAAGGGTGACGAGCAGAGCAAGAGGTGATTGCCCTCCTCTACTCTGCCCTTGTGAGGCCCCAGTCTGGAATATTGCATCCAAGTGTGGAATCCTTACCTCAGGATAGATGTGGAGCTTCTAGAATGGGTCTAGAGAAGTGACACAAAATTTATCAGAAGGCTGGAGCATCTCTTCTATGAAGACAGGCTGAGGGATTTGAGCTTATTCAGCCTGGATAAGAGAAGGTTGTGGGGAGACCTCATTGCAGCCTTCCAGTACTTTCAGGAAGCTTATAAACAGGAGGGAAATCAACTTTTTACGTGGGTAGATAGTGATAGGACAAGGGGGAATGGTTTAAACAAGAAGAGGGGAGATTTACATGAAATGTCAGGGGGAAATTTTTCACCGAGAGTGTGGTGAAGTGCTGGAACAGGTTGTGAGAGAAGTTGCAGATGCTCCATCCCTGAAGGTTTTCAAGGCCAGGTTGGATGGGACCCTGGACAACCTGATCTAGTGCCTGATTTAGTGGTTGGAAACCCTGTCCTCCTGTGGCATGGGGGTTGGAACTTCGAGGTCCCTTCCAACCCAAAACATTCAGTGGTTCTATGCCAATACAAATCGTATCTCTATAGACAACTTGACCGTTGATTTGCTTGCATGTGGTTATGTGGCCTCTGGTTGCTGCTTTGAATGCTTACGCAGTCCTTTCGATTTCTTCCCTCCTTCCTCCCTACGAAAAAAGACAAATCAGTTGTGAAAAGAACAGCAAGTAGTCCTGGATCTCTGGAAATTTGAGCGATCTAAAGTTTGATCCCTATTTTATTATTATTTTGGGTTTTTTTTCTTCTGGTCTTCCTTTAGAAGAAACTCCCAATCTTTCTGCCTTCAGCAAATGCTTCCCATCCGTCATAGTAGAATGGACACCTTAGAGGAGCAACTTAGAAACATCCCTTCTCTGGCTTTTTATTTTTCCTCTGGAATTAAAGGAAAGCAAGGTTGTTTATAATTGTTATGCTTTCAAAATATTTGGTATCAGTGATGGAAGACATCTTTGATATTCAGCCCATTGACTACCTTTTCTCAAAGCAGGATAACATAAAAAAAGGAGCAGTAGCAAATTTTGAAGAGGCTTTTCTAGAAGCTTCTTACATTTCTATAAGTACAAGTACAACGCATTCCAGGAAATCCATTTCTAATCTTCACCATCTTTTTCATTAAAAAAGGTTCCTATTACCCAGCTGTCGTTTTCTTTTTTGAAATACAAACTGTAATTTCTCCTATCTTTTTGTAGGAGAAAGATCAGAAGGCTTCCTTCATCTGCAGCAGCCTTTTTTACATTTATACATTAATAAACACATAGTATTTATTAGAATATTTATAGCAAATGCATATGTGTATGTATTTCCACACAGATCTCTACTTTTAATTCCAAGGTAATAATACTGGGCTTGACTGTTCCAACTGACTCTAAATATCTATTTTTTCTATGGATTGAAGTTTAAGATTATTTATATTCTGATTTTTTTTTTTTTTTCTGATTTGTATTTGGTTTATCTTTATTAAAATAAATACAAATTTCAACAGCAGAAACTACAATGTAACTGTTCTGATCATACAGGTCCTTAGAGTGTATTATGATCGCTTGGTGGATAATCCTGATCGGGCTTGGCTTGTTGGATTTATCCAAGAAGTTGTGAATAAAGACCTGCATGAAGACTTTCATGAACTTTTCCAGAATCTGGACTCCAATAATGATGGCAGAGTGGAGGAAGATGACTTACGTACCTTAATGTTTTGTGATTTTCATGACCCTAAAAGAGACGACACTAAATACAGAGAGATCACTGATGCCGATCAGCTGAGATTAGTTGTAGAGAGTCACCTCGAAGAGTTTAATAACTTAAGCAAAAAGCCAATGCAGCTAGTCTTGTTCCAGTTTGCTATAGAACATATTTGTAGAATTTCCCGTATTCTGAAACAGCCTCGTAGCCATGCCCTCCTTGTTGGTGTTGGAGGTAGTGGCCGACAGTCTCTTACTCGATTAGCAGCCCACATGGCTGAGTACAACCTTTTCCAGGTTGAAATAACTAAAAGTTACGGTACCAATGAATGGCACAAAGACTTGAAAGATATACTAAGAAAATCTACAGAAGCAGAAATGCAGGGAGTTTTCTTGTTCACTGATACGCAGATAAAAAAAGAGTCATTCTTAGAAGAGATTAACAACTTACTAAATGCAGGTGAAGTGCCAAACCTTTTTGCAGTAGATGAGAAACAAGAAATTTGTGAACAAATGCGTCAAATAGATCGCCAGAGGGACAGGACCAAACAAACTGATGGTAGTCCTATAGCTCTATTTAACATGTTTGTTGATCGCTGCCGAGATCAACTCCATATAGTACTGGCAATGAGTCCAATTGGAGATGCTTTCC